GTGTAATTGTATTTTAAAAACGTTCATTTTCAAATTGACACCATGATTTTGCAATTATCAAACTAATAAAAAAAAAACGTTAAACAAAGCTTTAGTTGTAATCCACAGTCATTTTCTAATTCAATTAATTGGCAAAAGTTCAGAAATTGGGCATAAAACCAGCATCACATTGTGCCTGATAATTTTTTTCTATTTTTTACGACCCTATGAAAAAAACTGAGCAAATTTTGAACGTGAAAATATTTTTAATTCCATTTCTGTTTGGAATTTTTGAATAGAATTGAATTGAACTGAAAATCAAAATGCTCCTATTTATTTATCCTTAGTTTTAATATCTAGTATTCTGTACTTTTTATAGGCTACCCATTTAGGCTTCAGATAACTTAATTTAAGTTTTAGGGCTACAACTTTTTTTAGATTCAGGCCATAATATATTTTTTACATAAACAAAAGAAAACAAGTCATTAATTTTTCGAGCGCTTCCGGGTTTGACCAATAGAGGGCGGTGTAGAAACTCGACAAAGCCGGAAACAAACTTTGCGCATGCGCGTCCGCCTCTTCCTTCTTTCCGACGCTCGAGTGAAACGAGACAAGATGGGCCACCAGCAGCTCTACTGGAGTCACCCTAGAAAATTCGGACAGGGATCCCGTTCCTGGTTAGTTTTAATCCTATCGTGTAGATTATTGACTAAAGGGCTAAGACGAGTGAATTTGTTGTTTATTTCGTTTGTTATGGAACAAAAAAAATGATCAAAGCCACACCGCATGGGCTCTTAGYCGCAGCCAATATGGCGGTATAAGATGGACTTGGCAGCCGGTAGCATCACTGTTAGCATGCATTATTTATGCATTTTTAATAGGCACAACTCATCTAACTAAACAATACTTTAGTAGTTAGTCAGACAAACGAGGCAACAAATTCAATGAACTTTGTTTTGACAAAAGTTGCATTAAAATGGTACCGGATGCTAACTAGCCACGGAAGATTTGACACTTAATTTGATTAACTTTTTATTTTATTTTCAGCCGAGTGTGCTCAAACAGACACGGCTTGATCCGTAAATACGGACTCAACATGTGCCGCCAGTGCTTCAGGCAGTACGCCAAAGACATCGGCTTTGTTAAGGTAAGTAATAGTCTTTAATTTATTATCTGGTTGTGTGAGACTTAAATGAAACACTAATAATTCACTGTGTGTTTAACCTGTGTACAAGAGGCTCATGTTGGTGAAGCCCACATTCATATATTTTTAGCAAATTGAATGTTTTTGATAAGCATTGCATTTATCCGTAAAGACCTTTTTTAAAAGTCTAGACAATAAAAAATGTGTTACGGTTATTTCTGATCATCTAAATCTGTTTTGTTTTCTTGTTTTGTACAGCTGGATTAAAAATCTTGCGCTGACATCTTCAGATGGTGTTGAGGGATCATGAGGCTGGCCAAGATGGAAAACATTCAACATTGCTAATAAATGTGTTCTTTTTTGTCCAACTACATGGAGCTTTGTGATTATTCAGCTTTTATTATTATTATTATTTTTCTCCATTACAGAAAGTTCTTATTCAAAAAAGAAAACAGTTATCTATGGGTTAAGATAAATTCTATTTTTCATTCAGAGTGTAGTCAGGTTAAAGGTGTAGAGATCGACATAACTAAATTTGACTGTAATCATGAAAACTGCATCATTGTGTCCTTGTTTCCAGGAAAGCTGTTTCTGATTGTTTTTCTGATAGCTTAAGCTTTAAAATAAATTATGCATATTTACAAGACGTAATGTAGGAACAGGTTAGAAATACCAGCCTTAATATCTACAAATAAACGTCATGAAAAGATGTGAACGTTGAGATTTTAAGGTTTCAACATAACTGCAATGCTCACATTCTCATATAACCCTGTTTTCTGAGCTGTTCAGCGAGGAATCCAGCGGTGCAATTAATAGTTCCAGCTGTAGGTCAAAGCTAAACCCTTCTCCACAAAGTCTGTGACTAATTTTGAAGTCAGCATGCCTTCACATTTAAGGCCCAGGTAACATGCAGAGATATTATTCTGCCTCAAAGTTAATGTGATCTGATGGGTTCCCTGCAGTGAGGGTAATTGTCCAGGTGACCAAACTTGAATTAAGATCACAGATTCCTTTCTGATAGAAAGATGCCAGCTTTTTTAGAATTTATTCTTTCCAGAATGAACCACTAGATGGCAGCAACACTGCATGTAGGATGAGCAAGCACAACAGAACAGCTGGATTTTTTTGCATTAATGAGAATAATGGAGTTTGATCCTCGTGACAAGTCAAAGTTATGACAAGTTCAGATTATAGTTTGATCACCTAAACATCCTGCAGCAGTGATCATGTTTGTGGAAGTAAAGAAAACTTAAAATTCATTATATTAGTTTTTTTTTCACCTTGTCTAAATACAATTCAGGWGATTCAAACATTTTCTTAATACCTCCAAACTTGTCCTGTGGGGTCTTTAAAMAGTCACTTGTAAAATTCAACTAATTTCCACAAAGTTGACTTCAAATATTGTGCACCAAAACTCAGCGGGGAACGTGATGAACGGGAGCATCAAAGACACCTGGAGACAGTTTAATAAAATATGTAAAGCAGCTGAAGATGAAAACAGAACAGTTTCTACATCAAAAGGCTGCTGAGTACACCTCAACCTGCACAGAGCTGAAGGCTGTGCTCCCACCAGAGGTTTTACCAAAACCACCTTACAGTATGTTCAGAGTTCTAGTTATTTTGGTCAAACCATGAAACTTTTATGTGCAATCTCATGCAATATTGGGAAATATAACACTCAAAGTTGAATCATTCATTACTTAAGTGGAAGTATAGATACTGGGGTTTAAAAGTACTTTTTTTGAAAGAAGAACTCAAGTAAAAGTGTAAAAGTACTAGTTTCAAAACTACTTAAAGTAAAAAAAAAGGTCAAGGTAATGTAAAGGGGGGGGAAAGGATAAAAGCTTAGGTCGAGCTGCAGGGCTCTGCAAACCCCATCAATGACAATAAAGTGTTTATGATAATGTTGAAAAATATTGGATGCACTACTTGTTTCAGCTGCACTAGKGGTGCACCAAAAGAAATCGATTCACACCAGAATTCTCATTAAGAACGATTTAGAATCGAATTAAAATGTCCAAAAATTGATTAAAAATAATTAAAAAAAGCAAATGGAATGACTGACAGCCCTCACTTTCCAACTACATCATGGGACGTCTAGACGTCAATAAGCAAAACAAAAAACAAAACTAAAAAAAAAAGGAGGAAAGCGCTTCATGCGGCCCGTCTTCATTGAAAACAAAGATTTGGGCTCATTTTGGTTTTTACCAAAATGATTCGGATTTTAGTTTCACTGTTTACAAAGGTCTGCAGAATGAAGATTTTAGGAACACAGCAAATGGGCGGGCTCACATTATCAGATGTGAATGAAAAGTCGATTTAGAATCGAATCGTGAGATTGACAGTTAATGCTGATTTTATAAGAACAGATATTGAGCAATGAATAACACTAGAAGTTTGTGTTGTGAACAACTTTCAGCAACAACCACACCAAATTTTAGTTCAACAGCTGTACAATTGACTAATTATAGCCAATTTTGAATTCTCTAAGGCAGGGCTGTCAAACTCATTTTCACCGAGGGCCACATGAGCGTTATGGTGGCCCTCCAAGGGCCAGTTGTAGTTAACTTTGACACTTCATGTTAACACCAACAGTACATCTGGGGGTGGGTGTGTGGGTGTCAGGGTCTTTATTCCCATCCCGTTCCCCGACTGCCATTTGGGGAGGGGGTCCTGAAGAAGGGCGGACCGTCGGGTGCGGTTCTGGGCTGTGGGTGGGCTCGGGGCTTGGACGGTCGCCGGGGGCGGGGCTGGCTCTCCGTCCTCCCTGGTGCTGCTTGGTCTCCTGAGGTGTGGCTCTTGGTTCCTGTGGGTGGCCCGCTGGCCGGGGTGGCTGCTGGGTTCCGACGGGGTGGAAGGCTGGGGGGGGGTACACTTGGTCGCTGGCGGTGTGGTGGGGTGGTCATGGGTGTGGCTTCTTTGCGGCGGGATTCCTCTCAGGCCCTTGGACTCTGGTCTTCCCTATGTCTGTCTTGGGGTTTGGGTCTCGGTCCTCCACAGTCACTATTAAATATTCCATTGGAGAAATCTTGTATATACACACATGTTCACAACTGCTCACAGACAGGTGTTCTGATCCGGGGGTTCTGACTGGTCACTGAGTGTGTATATATGTCTATGTGTATATACTGACAATATTTATGAATGTAGGCATGTATGTATGTAAATCTTTATATATGCATGGGTATGTGTATACAGTGGTTTGCAAAAGTATTCATACCCCTTGAACTTTTCCATATTTTGTCACATTACAAC